AGGGCTTAAGATTGGGAGTTTGGTGTTTGGGCCTTATGATTTGGGCTTGGGATGTATGGTTAGGGGGACGGACGGTTGACGGTCTGGGGTCCAGCTGTCGGGGCTTAGAGACTGGCGTAGGGTAGACGTTAGGGCTGAAGGCTTGGCTTTGGGGTTTACTTAGCTTTGGTTTGGGTGGGGGTTAAGTCTTGCGGCTTCGGCTGAAAATTTGAATTCTTAAGATAAGAATCTGAAAACTACATTTTAGGCCGAGGTTTTTGAGTTTTTGGTATATGGTTGGGTTTCGGCTGTGCTGACCTTTAGAAACGAGTACCGAACATTGCCTCCCCTTCTCAAGATTCGTAGCAGCTACAGGATTTCATGGGTCTTGACTCTTGAGCTGCTCAGCTCCTTGCTCGCGATCGCTCGGCACGGAGCAGAAAGTGGTTGGTGGGGCCTTTCTTGCCCTGCACACTGTGGTGGGCCAGGCCTGGGGGCGCTTTGTGTTTCTGTTCTCCTGGGTAATCGGAGGCACGCATGGACGGTGAGCTCCGGGCGGAAAATAACGGCTACAGGATTTCGGTTTCTAAAGCCCCTGCCCCACCAGCTGCTGTCCAGCGAACCCCTCCTTCTGCCGACTCCCTCGGCTCCTATTTCGAAGTTGTGGATTTGCCTTCTCAGGCGGCGACCTACGGTGCTCTTCCGGAGCCCAACCCTTATTCCTTGCAGGTTGCCTTCACCTTTGCGTGCGCAAGAGTGTTCCAGGGCCCCCTAGGCCGAAAACGGTCTACGCCCGACTAGGCCTTGCCAACTGATGCTACTGTGTGGTTGCAGCAAAGGGCTTGATCGGCCCGTTGTGCTGGGCACTTTTGCGCAATATGCAAATATAGCATTGCGAATGAGTTTCGAAGTCTACAACTTGTGGCCTCAGCTTCTCGGCTTATCTGGCCTCAGTCCTCGTCGAAGCGAGATTCTGGCCCCTCAGCCTAGTTTAGGTCCCACTGCCATTCGTAGCTGTTAGCTGCGTCCTGGGAGTGTGTGCTGGATCTGTCAGCTGTGCCTTTCTGCGAAACCTCGGAAAGTGGCGGGATTTTGCTTTCGGCTGACAAGCCAACTTCTGAAGGAGACGGCAGCTGGGACAGGCAGGGGAGCCAGGCCCGACATCCGCCAACAGCGGCTCGTGAAGTAAAATTCGGACGAATTTTAGGCTTCCCGCGCCGCCTAAAGCTTCAGATGGGTCTTTGGGAAGTTCTGCCAAAGGTTCTCTCCTTTGTTCAGTGGGGGTCGAGCCACTCTTGGTTTGGGCGCTCTTGTCCCGCTCACTGTTCCGGATCCCTGGCTGGACCGGCCGGTGTCCGGTATGTCTGTGGCTCTGTGGCTGAGAGATCGCAGGTTTGCTGAAACTGTTGCAAAGCATAATGTGTAAGTGGTGGCACCCATGCTGATGCTTTAAATTGTGTCTAGAACGGCATTTGCACGGCCAGCTGCATTGTTACATGCATTTTTCTTGGCTGCCTGACGTGCATCTCTGCTGTCATTCAGAACCCTTCGTTCAAGACAAGTCCTTTCAAACTGTTCTGCTAGTTTCCCAATCATCAGCAAAATGGAGCGACGGCGGACACCCACAGACAAAACATACGTACAGCCAGACAGACAGAGAGACTGCCAGACCGACAGAGATGTATTTGTACACCCAACCACAGACTGCAGCCATGTTTTCTGAGCAAGACTCGGGCGAGGCAGCCAACAAACTGCTGAGTGCTGGTGCATCCAGGAAGGCCGCTCCATGCAGACGCGCGATCCGAAAGCCCTGCCAAAGACGTCCCAATCAAACGCGTGAGAAGACCCTTCCTGATCTCATGCATCAGCTTACATAAGCCCACCTGGTCAGCAAGCAGAACTGAGTCCATACTCCGGCACCAACAAATAATGCAGGCCCATTCGAGGCTCGGGATTTGATTGGATGCAAGGAGCTGGCTACTGTTTGTCACAGCTACTGCAAAATGATAGCACTCATTAGACTAAGCAGCTTCTCTTGACCAAGCCAAATGGCCATCGAAATGGTCAATCATGCTGAAAAACAAAAATTTCCAAAGGCGGCTGGACGCTAAGAGTGCAACTTTCCCGCTCAGCAGTGAAAGCCGCAACCTCACAATCGAGCAGATGCCCAAGGAACAAACGGATGCAGTCCGTGCAGAAGGACGGTAAAGCACTCACGGATCACAGGGCCCCACAGCTCCTCCGCGTCGGTGTTCGGAGATGCCCCTCTGGAAGATGACGGAGACTGAAGGCGACAGGCAGACAAAGCTAACATACAAGACCATTGACAGAAGTTCGCGTGTGAAGCACAAGCCATCAGACACTGGCACCAAAGAAACGAAACCTCCATGCCTCATCAATCGATCTGTGACGCAACCCCCACCTCACAAACACTATAACGATAAAAGCCATTACTATCCTAATCATCAATACGGCCTGTACTGTACTGGTTTCGTGTCAACAGATGTAGCAACAGAGTCCACATCTGTATTTGCGCTGCGCGTTTGTCTGAATCGCTGCCAGATGCGACTTTGTAAAACTCGCCGTCAACGACCCAGGCGTATCCCGCACCAAAAAAGAGCCCTTGGACCGAAACTATGACCCAGCCTCGATTGAGCGTCCAGGCCACTCGAAACACGGACTGGTGACAGACGTTTGCAAGACCTGCAAGTTTGCCAGCGAAATATGTTCCAATATGTCATGCAAGACCGTAGCCCGGAACATTTTGGCGGCTTGTAGCCATGTGTAGCAACGATGCCGCTGCACAAGGATGTTCCATTCCTTCTTTCGGAATCCTTCGACACTTTGTCGACCCTGTCATACTATGAGTATCTATGAATGACAAGTCATGCCTTGTCCCCAACTTCCCTGGCGCCCGCGCCGCCGGCGTGGCGAGCCATGCCAGCTGCACGCACTGCACCTTCGGGTCGCATGCTTCAGACGTGCAGAGTGCACTTCCACTGACCACTGCCGAAGGCCGATGAGCCTCTGATCTGCAACCACGGCTTTGACTTCGCAGCGTGGCAACCTTCGAGGCAATGCGGCTCAGACTGCAAACCACAACCACGGACGAGGAGACCCTGTCCTTGTCCAGCTCGCGTCGGACTTGTGCCGGTGGCAGAGGCCTGAAGGAGGAAGTCCATAATCAGGCAGCATCCGAAGCACACAAGATGCTAATAGTCAAGAGGGCTGTGCAGGCCTTGAGTGGCCAGACTTTTTCAACTACTCTTGCAGACGCTCCGAGATGTTGCGATCAACGGTGTGGCTCACGACTCCGCAGCCCTGAGCCCTAGTAACAAGACAACATTGGTGCTGCGAGAATCGTGAGCCTCATTGACTCAGATTCAACGTGATTCAACACAAGGCCTGATTGGGCGGCTTCTTGCATTTGTCAGGATGTGTCACAGACCGTCGCCGTCCAAACACCCACACAAGACTTTTCAGAGTTTCATCGCGTTTCGTGCCTGAAGCACATGTGAATCTGCTGCCATGTTGCGACTTGCACCGCAATCAATGGAATTGCATGCCGTGCCTGTGTACCGCTGTGGCGACCGTCGTGCCCTGGTCACATTGCCAAAAGGGCCTTCGCATCCGGAAATTGTAACGTGCAGGCAGAAAGCTGGAGATTCCCGGCCACTTCGGGCCATCTTGTGCGAGCATGGAACCCGTTCGAAACTAAAGCGTGGCGTTTCGACTTTATTGCCTGTCACCCTGCTCTCCTTGTCCCTCCATCACCCGCACCGCAAATATGAAACAACCATCGCCCGCACCATCACGAAGGAGAAGGAGAGCCTGTGCATGCCCAGTGCATCTCTAAGTCTCTAAGACTCTAAGGCCTTCGCCACTTTCGCACAGCCGATGAGATGGCAGGAAAAGGACAAGTGGACTTGCGATGGTTTTGCCAAAAAACAAACGTGCGGTTGCACCTGTGGCTTTTGGGTGGACATCCGCGCCTTTTGCCTTGGTTTTTCTCTGTTTGGCCGTCTACGCCTATCTGAAAGGCCTTCGATGGCAGTGAAACTATTGCTGCACTGCTACATACACAACTCACAAGCATGTCCTATTTCCAATTTCTTGGGCCATAGGCACAGCTTCCAACTCCAACAAGTCGAAACTTTGCCGTTGCTTCTCTGAAGGCCTCCCCACCCTTGGCGAAAACATCCTGTAGCTATAGCTGGCTCCGAACTGGCTGCTCGGCCTTGGTATCCACCATGGCTGCAACATGGAGATGGCTGCAAATAGACGAGGCTCCGAGGTATCAAGTGAAGTGACCGCTCCGGACTTTCTTCCAAGCCCTAGAAACCTCATCAAATCATGCAAGGGTGGGCACTGGCTCACTTGCGCCGCTTTGTTACTAGTAGATTCACGACAACGGCTACAGATGGCTACAGAACTTCAAGCCCAGTGCGGCAGAGAAAGCCAGGGGTTGGTCGACTCGAGCACGATGTTCGGCACAGCAGGCGAATCTTGACGGATCCACGGATCTCATACATGCGCTGCGTGGTTGTGCGCATTGAGATTTGCATACTTCCGGAAGCTTCTGGACGATACAGCAAGTCGTGCAAAGGGCAGCAGAAGACCTTCAGCATCATGGTTCACCCCTCCGACATAGCACAAAGCGCACTGACACTCAAACAGCTACTCAAATTACGGCCCTCAGCTCTACATGACAGTGTGCACGTGAAACTTTGGCCTTCGACTTGAACACCTCGAGTTCCTCTGGCCAAATGACACCGAAAGACATGTTGAATGCTCATAGCACCTGTTGAACACCTACAAGCGATACTTTCTGCCGGAACACTTCGTTGCAACTTTGGCGCCATCAAACCTGATATTGAGTGCTTCTGTTAGATTTTTCAAGCATAATAGCGTTGCAGCATGACCGTTGGACAACCGCACAAACTCCAGAAGAGCCAGCTTTTCTGGAAAAAGGTCGACGAACCCTGCTACGACTGCTCGATCGCTCTCTTTTTCAGCAGATCTCACAGCTCTTTGCTCAAGCGTACCGCCAGCCGATCTCGATAGAGTTCTTCGCAAACCACCTTCCAGGCACAACTTCGACGACCCTCCAAATCGACAGAAAAGAGGGCCACATTGACGATAACAACTGCGGGAGTGACTGTGGTGGAAGACTGCATATTATCATCATGCATCTCTACTTTCAAAAAGTCTGTACTGCTATATCAATCCGCAGCAGCTGCCTCAGTCTCACCTTATCACTACCCCTTATCACTACCTTTTGGAAAAGGTTGCTATCTGTTGCATTCTGTCTGCTCCGTGGGTGCAGATGCCTAGTCCTGTTCCGGTGTCGCTTTGCATGTTGGCTTCTCACATACAAGTGCATCAGTCGGTCGAGACACACATCAGTAGCATCACGACGCATCCAAAGCAAGCATTCCCCATGTACACACTCGATTTCACGAGACACCGCTCGAGACACGCATAAGTGATCATCAATGACATCACAGCCAAAACCAGCCAGCCGATGTATGCCCATGTAGGCCCTCGGCTCCACAAGCAACGGCTCGAGACACACAGCAATGGCATCACAACATATCAAAACCAGCCATTCCCCCATGCAGACGCTCGTTTCCACATGGAACAACACCCGCGTGTGGAAAGCAATGGCATTGCCAGCATTGCGGGAAACAGCTTGAAGCACATCGCCTTCGTTCCACAGGAACTGCGCGAACAGGCGCCCTGCAGTTAGCGGTAGCGTTGAATCTGAGAACTCGCCTGGGGAAGAAAACACTCCTCCGAACAATCCCAAATCAACGCCAACGACGGCGGACGAACTGCAGTGATCACCGACCTATCGCAACTTTGGTTTGCTTGTCTTCTCTTAATCGCCAGTGCATGTGTGTCAGCGAATGACTGACTAGCTGGACGAAGTGGAATGTGCAGCAAGCCTCGCCCTAAACACCGTTTCTTCCCGTTTCTTCGGGGGGGGGGGGCAAGCCTCATTGATTGCCGCCTCCATGGCGAAAGCCCCGGCAAAGCGGGCTTAAGGACAAGACTTGTGCCATCCTCTTTGATGTTTCTTTCTGTGACGAGGCGGAGCAGTTCCCTTTCAAAGCACATGACCTCTGCGTTGGGTTGTTCCCGATGTTGTGCTAAGGACTGCTGCCAGCAAAGCATGCGCCTCAAAGCCCAGGCGCTTGTAAAAGTTCAGCGCAGCTTGATTGCCGGACTCCACCTCTGCGAAGGTGCACACACTGCTGGCAAACGAACCGGCAAATCTGTGGAAAACTAGGCGTTGTCGGCTCAAGTCGTAGTTCGGATCAAGATGCATGCATCCAAAGCTGCCGGGCTCCACGGAGTCTGGACTTTGCAGCACACCAACAGATAATCTGCGTTGCAACGCCGCTTCGTCGGGCTTCCGGTTGCACCACCAAGTTTTGGACCTCACAGCACACGTCGCCATGCTTTTGGCGATTCATACCGCCGACAGCCTGGCATACTGCAGCCGACGGGCATAGCCGTCTTTCTTGACTTGTGCCATTCCCAGAACACCATCCCTGCTTGTTGCAATGGCCGTAAGTGGAGCATCCGAAGACAAAGAGGAGTAGACCCGCCTGACTCGAGCACCCTGCTCCGAAAAGATGGGTCAACATGTTGCAGTTCTTTGCAGATTGGCAGTCGGGTCGCATAAATCCCAGGCCCAAGAAAGGGTTGACATCGCTCTCAGCTTGGTTGCGCCCTTCGAACTCGGCAGCATCCTGCTGGCTCAGAAGTTGAGAGGCGCCCCACACATCACCCATCCTCATTTCGCGGGATCATGAGGCAATTGCTGGAGCTCTACAACTGAGGCATCCCTGCAGTCCGGGCTCGATGTTGCCTCTTTCACATCGAACTCCTGTATGGTCTCGTCGGACACCTCTGGCAAAACGAAAGGTGGAATGCAAAACCGATGCATCTCGATGCCTGGAACTGCTTCATCAACTCAGCTTCCCAGCCGGGCGTCTCGCCTGGGTTCTTCCAGTGGAAGCTTGCCCTACTGTAATCCTGAACCACTTCTGCATGCTTCTGCTGCCTGACATGTTCCGACGGCAAAGGTAATGTCAGCCATGAGTAGCAGCTCACTCGCTCGTTTTGACCGCAAACATGCGGCTTGCACATGTGGTTCAATCCTAGCACTTGGAAATCAAATTGAAACACAAGCTGCCTCAACCGCTCTGCTTTGAGGCGCCCTCCTACCACGCACACACTAGAGACTAGACAGACCAAGATCGACTGCGAGTTCTAAGATTCATGCACTTCCTCCATGGAGGGGATTACGCAACTCGCATCTTCTACCTTTGCGCGCAGCAGGCCGTCCCTTATGAAGCAGCCTTTTCTGCAGCGCATGTATCTATCGACAAGCAAGGGACCAATCAATGATGGCATCATGAGCAAATTCCAGATAATGTCATGGAGAATCACATGGCCTCGCTACATACCAACGGACAGGACAACTTCGGTTGCTGGTCCCTGCAGCAGCTGGGGTTGCGTCCTCGCTCGCCGGAGGAACTCATTCCGAATTCATAAGCTTCCGGGCACTTTCATTCCAAAACGCATGCCCACGCAAAGATCATGATGAAGCTGGAAAACATGAGATCTCTGCAGGAAGAATCCCTTCAGGACATAGTTTGCCTAAGTGGGTTAAGTAACCCTTCGTGATGGCAAGCGCATCAACAACGCGAATGCAACGCTCGGAACAAATTCTTCAAGGTGCTGCATGGGTGGTGGCATTCGCGACAGCACTCGCAATCTCCTGGCAGCCAGACTCAACCAGAGATCGCGCCGCTCCTTTCTACCTTTGACTAAGTTTGTTTTTACCCCGTTGTTTTGACGGGTAGCGCTCCTTTCCTGTGAAGCTTTCGCTTTCGACAGCCCTTTTGGGCTTGCCACACAGCATTCCTTCTGTCGTACACAGGGTTTGGAACTCGCTGCTCTTTGTAGGTGCAGTGTTTGCCACGTTATGCCGCTTTTCGGGCTTCGGGTGTTGCCCATTCTTTTTGCAGCTCAAGGTTCTGCCAAACGGCTCAATTTATGCATTCGCCGATGTCCCGTGAAAACCGGTCAAGCTTGGACGGGACTTCTGAAACCTTCTGAAGCTCTTTGATAAAACCTTCACACTTCGCCTGAGCCAGGCCCTCGGACCACGGCCAGAGCCACATCCAGCCCGGAAAGAGATGCTTTCCGCCCAGGTCGTCACCTGACACCAACAAACATTCATTGATCAAAGATGTGTCGCGGCTGAGTGGGGACAGCGAGAGGAGCAGCTCTGGTTTACCTATCTGGATTCCGGACAAGTCGCAACGACATAACAGCATTCGCACCAAGACATCAGGACAGACCATGAACTTCTACCTCAGCGACGCCTCTTACAGTACGAAGCACTGATCCCGACTAGCAAGAACAGATCGCACGTACTTTGAGCGATGTCGAGTCTGCCTATGCCCCACAAGTGTTGTCTGCAATTGTCTGCACCTCTCTCACGCAGGTGTCGGCAAGCCCTGGCCTGTAAGAGCACGGGACAAATGCTGAGAAGCAGAACCTAGGTTGCACGAGAACACCGGGTGTTCCTGCAAGTTGCTCCCTCCAGCGACTGTGTGCCGCAAAGCCACGAACAGCCATACACTTCTCTGAATGGTTCAAGCCGACGTTCAGCAAAGACATCGAAGCCTCACGACGAGCTCTGCACGGGACAAAGGGAAGGGAGAAAAGGAGCCGAGGCCGAGCTCTGCCTTCGAGAAGAACTCCAGGCACTCCTCGGCCGAGGGCCGCTTCCAGGCTTCCTTGGAAAGCATCCGCGAAAGCATCCGCCGTAGGCCCTGACACAGGGGGCAGGGGGCGCCCGCGCCTTTCAGAACTCATTCGTTCCCGTCTCCACCCCCCACCCACCGCCCCCGGACGCCTGTCCCGTGACCTCCTGCGGCAAGCGGACCTTCCGGTGTAAGGTGTTGGCGACCATGAGGTCTTGGCTCTCGGACCAAAAGGGCATCGTTCTGCAGAGCAAGGCATAAAGGAAGACGCCAGCCGCAAAGATGTCCACTGCGAAATCGTACTTGTCGCCTCACAAGGCTCTCCCCCATCTTCAACCTCTCACAGTCAAAGACAAACACTGAGCTTGCAGGAGAGTTTCCTCGAAGAAGCTCCGGGGCAGCATATCCCGGTGTGCCAGCAGTTGTCTGCACTTCATCACCATTGTCACACGCAACAGCTATGCTGAAGTCGATAAGAAGCGCCCGCGAGTCCTGACAAAGGACCACGTTTTCCTTGGCCGAGCACTCTCAAACACGCTGCACACAAGGATGGGCACTCTCAAACACATTGCGGGGCTAAGGAACGGTGGACACCTCTACAGCAAAACATCCGGAAGTTGGGGCTGCTACCTCTGCTGTCTTTGAAGCGTCTAGCTACGTCGATCCATCAAGCAACCCGCGCTGCTGCGCGAAACCGGCCAAACAGGAGGCCATGTGCCGCCCATCCTAGGCTCGAGAATCCACACCGCCTTCCCGGCTCTTGTGCGCTTTGCTGATCCGGGATCCTCTGCAGCACTTCTTCCTTGCAAACTCTTCAGGCGTTCCAATTCATGTCTTCAGCCGCAGCCGCCTGATGCTCTTCAGGTAGACTTCATAAACCGGCGCCCGGGCGCCCGCAGGCGATCATCCCTGACTCCATTGTAATCTAGCTGTCGTCCGCCCGAAGGAGGCACAAGTCACAAATGTACCAAAACATTGCAAGCGCATCGCAGCACCGTTCAGGTTTAATTTTGTTTTCGGTGCATCGGAGAGCGCCTGGAACGTTTACCGCAAATCCCTGCCGGTACAAATGCTGAATGAAAGCATGGAAGGAAATCAAGCTGTGGCTTCTCGACACACTTATCAAGGTGGAATGGATTCAAGGTGACTTGTGGCTTCAGCTTCAGATTTTGGTGGACGAAACGGTTAACATCGGTTAAACCACGAGTAGCCTCGTGCAAACTACCGCAGTGACTGAGGAGTGTATACAAACTTTGACACTGGGACCGCGAAACAAGCACCACCAAGACTCGTTCCAGGATAAGATGTTGTATGGGGACAGTGGGAGCTCTGAACTCTCGAAACTTTGCCTTTCGAAGCTGGGGCAGCGACCGTTTCATGACTTGGAATCGGAGTACCTACATAAGTTCGGCAGCGCAAGAAACCATAAACCCTTGTCAGCTACACGGATTCTCGATTCTATGCCTTCCATTGCCTTCCCTGCGGCATGCTTGAAAAGCTTTGGCCATTGTATGCCCATGGCACAAACCCAATTGTACATCCAAGGCCCGAACCCTATCCCACCCAGAACAAGGACTTCAACAGCCGAGATGCAAGCTTCACATCGCGATGGATGATACGTAAGCCGTGCAGATGAGTTAACGCAGACGTAAGACTGATCATTATCTGCATTGCTCGCTCCCGGGAAACTGCCTCAGGTCAGATTTTAAACATACCGTCGAACAGAGGTTGCAGAGTGTTACACACTGCGACTTCGCTCCTTTTCGTAAGCTGCCGGCTCCACTTTCGAGCAAGGCAGCCACATCGCCAACGGCTCCAAGCTCCATTACCAAGACATAGCAGGTGCTGGAGTTGAAGGAGTCCGTCGGGGACGAAAACCTCTTCAAGCTTTAGACTTAGACGTGTGCCTGAGGGCTGCTTCCACGGTCTCACGAGGAAAACTGTTTGATGCCGCGGCGCACACCGAACAGAGATGCTATGTTAGGATGGTGGTGAGAACGAAGCAGGAAGGCTACCTCCCTGCTGACTGAGTCGGCAGTACTGTCATCTGCCATGACCTGTCGCGCGAAGAGCGATGCTCCAACTGCCATCGGGTACAGCAGTATCACTTCGCCTTCAAGGCAACCCTTTCCGTCTCGATGTCGACAGCCTCATGCACGGGGGCATCGATTGGTAAGTAAGGGAGTTGCCAGCTCACAATACTTCCGACCCTCACAGTCTCGAGTGCCGCGCATCATCCCGCGAACGGCTGCTGCCAACGAACACCTTCCCATGTACGCCTCATGCGCATAGTTCGATGCTGCTTGAAGCGGATGCACCAGAGTGTTGGGGTGGCCCTATGTCTGCGCGCGCAGCTTCCACTTAGGCTTCATAACACAGCTCACACGGGGTGTTTGCAGGAAACCGAACTTGCACCAGGCCTTGTCCACAGCAAACCTGCGAATTCTCGAAACATGCGTTCAGGTCCCATCGCACGGATCCACGTCGGCTGAGATCGAAAAGGAAATTCTGCAAGCCAGTCGGCGAAAAGTTCACACAGAGCACCCAGACCTTACACGAGAGTTGCTGGCAGGAATTGTCGACATGTCTGGAAACACAGTATCGTTGTGTCACATAATCCGTCAAGACGGGCAGCTTGTAAAGCGGCGGCAGGCATGCTTGCAAGAAGCCGGGGAACTAGGAGAACGACATGAGAAGCATCGTGCTTGAGTTCAGCATCGCCAGATATCTGAACAGCTTGATGAAGTAGATCCGACAGAAGGAGAGGGATGCTTACAGTCTGCGTATTGTCCAGGCTCTCCCATGCAAGGGATGATTCATTCAAACGCAGTGCTCCTCGCCTGACATCTAGAAGCAACAACGGACACGCAGCTGTCTGTCATCGTGACAGCACGTGGGAAGTGACGCAAATTACCGCTCCCGTCAGCATACCTACATTCTCATAGCGGCTCTACAAAGCATTCCGAGTCTACCTACTCCAACTTAGCCTCTACCAGCAGGAAGTGGGCAGTCTTTCAATCTTATGTAGTCGTCCCATGCTGTTCATGATGACACCGACGAAACCATTGCTAGCATGACCAACACGTCAATAGACAGATGGCAGCCTCTCTGACACACCTTTCAGGTCACGACTTGCTAATTGACTTTCATGACACTTGAAACTTTGTTTCATTCGATTGAATCGGCTTTGACTTCCTTCCAAATACACATCCGATACCACATGGGGTTAGCAAGGCTTCTGGCCCGGGTTCGTCCTTCGTTGGACGTGGGACCGTTCCCTGCGAACGTTCCTTCGGTTTCTCGACCAGTCAAGACTAAAGAAACTAAATTGAAGGCATGTCAAGGCACCACGGAAGAATGTCAACTCCTTTACAGCGTGACAACCCCGTGCTCAATTTCTGAGTTCATGTTCCTCTATACTACAGTCCACACCTGCAAGAGCAGAGGTGCTCACGAAGACACTGGCTGATCTGATTGATTGCCAACGTCCCTCCTCAGACTTGCATGCCGCTCCTTATGCCCCGGAAAAGCCGACAGCAAGAGAATTACAAACACTGCATCCATCTGAATCCTTACATCTCAGGTCCCTGGTGCCTTTGTGCTTCTTCGCGTGCTAGTGCCAGTGGCTGCCCACAGGCTCGAGAATCAAGGTCACTGCCCGCTGCAGCTCTGTGCAGCAGATTCTGTAAAGTTGTATGACGTCCTGAGACCACACTGTAGGGAAGTCGAGCTACGCTTACGAAGCCATGCATCCATGTGTGGAACATGTCCTGTGCCGCTGGCGTCCAGAGAAACGGGACGTGGTGAAGCAATGCCCCCTCCGTGCACAGGATGCAGCCAGGTGGACAGCTGCATGTGGGCGGAGGTGCTACACTACAAAGCAGCTCAAGTTCCCACTGTAGCGTCGCATGCTCTGCCAGATTTGGTAGCTGTGATGTCTCTTTTGCATGGTTAATGCAACTGTAACATGCCGAAAGGTTCAGTTTATGGCTCCAGTATCATTATGACAGCTCAGGTACATAACGCTGTGAAGAATCGCGTATTAAGCTGCACAAGCAAGCAAACAGATGAGCTGACTGGTGCCACTACAGGAACTTGCCTTCTGTAAACCTCCTTTCAACACGGCAATACCGTCACCACCTGACTTGGCGGACACGGCGGACATGTGCCTGAAGCTTTCTGCTGCCCACGAGGACACATCCGACGAGCCACGGACGGCCCTCGGCGTTGCCGAGTTCTCTCTCTGTACAGATTTCTGCCCTTACGGGTCAAACAATGCTTGCGTCCCCCGGTCCCGCCCAACGGCAGTCCGAAGTCCAAGCCTGTACAGTCAATGCACACACAGCTGTAAGCGTAGCTGAATGCTCTTTACACAGTGCTTAAACAAGTCTTGCGTGTGTCTTGCGCGCTGGAGGTGCCGGGATGCCATGCATAGCCCGCAGGAGCCCGACTTCGCATATTTCAGAAGCATATTAGGCATAAGCACGCGATGTTGTTGTAGCATCCTGCGGGAACCCAGCAAGCCGACGCTGTACTTTCGAGAGTCTGCAAACACCGACCTGTCTCCAACCCAACACGGAGAAGCAATAAGGTCTCGCAGACCAAATAACAGGACACGAGCTGCTAGTGAGCGTTCACAGTCAGGAGCTGATGAGTCCCGAAAACATGCAGTCGCTGAAAGCAGAATGTCTGCAACACATATTCCTCGGACGGCTTGGCTATCAGAGGCGGCTTCTGCCCTGCGATGCCCTGCTTGCCAAGACTCGAGCACATGTGCTGCAACTCCTTTCGGCTCATGTGATCCGCAACGACCTGTCGCTGTCTCTCGCGGTATCACGGACGCTTCCTGACCTGCACGGCGACAAGTTTGATAGCCCGTGAGACCACTTGCATGCTCACTCTGCAGGATCCTTGAATGCCTGGAATGGATGTGTAGGTGTCAAACAACGGCACAAGACCATCGGCGGCTAACACCCTCTTTGACTGAATGCACACCTCAGCCGACAGTCGCGAGACTATACAAAGGGCCTCTCCTGGCATGCACACACACACACGGACAAAGTGAAGCAAGACATTTGTCACAGTGAACCGAAGCTGAGCTGCCGGATTCTGACGAACATCCGCTGACAATGACCAGAATGAGACGAAGGCTTCTCGTGCCTTTGTCGTCTCAACAAGGCTTCGGTTACATCGACAGGACAAATTCACCAAAGCCCACGACCGAGAAGCGCCGGGAAGGTTCCTTACTCAGCATTCCTGCAGGCAGCATGTCAGAAGAACTGATCTTGCTGTGTGTCATGTGGCACCCAATTCCTCGGAGAAGTGGTCGAACTCCAAGCTCATCACGATTTGCGAGGAACGTGAAGGCAAGCTGCATGTCACATCTCAAAGAGCTGGCCAGAATCTCCTCAGCAAGGATCTGCTTGTCGGGCATGTACTCTGCTCGGGAAATCAACTCAGCTGCACAAAGAAACAGACATGCTTTGCAGCAGAGCCTTCGCCCCTTGGCCAGAGAAGGGCAAGCGCCTTGACAGAAGCACGAACCTGGACAAGATCGGGAAGCTGAATCCAGCTGCAGACTCGCACTGTGCTGTATTGAAGTTGTGGTAAGATCTGTGCAAACTAGCTGCCACAGAACACCGGCGGAAAACACATCCACTCCTTCGTCATAGGGCAGTCCCTCGATAATTTCTGGAGCGACATATCCTGCATGTAGCCAAAACGCAGAAACGCTTTCCTGATGCAATGGCTGACGCAGCAGAACTTGTTGCCAAGTTTTGTCCTGGCGTACCAGCACACGTTCGCAGGGCCACAGCATCATCCAAAGATGCTGCAATGCTGAAGTCGATGAGCACCGCGCGCATGTCAGCATGGAGGACAACATTTTCCTTGCTCGCAATCAGGAGGGTAAGGCTGCACCCTTTACAAGCGTGCATGGAAAAGCAAGCAAATTCTACCCGGGATCAGGCTTCACATCCCGATGAACTACACGTCGGTCGTGCAGGAAGGCAAGAGCTGAGGTCACACCAACCATAATCTGGATCCCTCTGCACCAAGATACTGCCTCAACAGCAATGCCATCAGTGGCTACAAACATGAACAACATGCGTAGTTTCATGAGAGAAACTCCGCTTCCGATAAGATCCGCCACATCCCCCCGAACACCAAGCTCCATGACCTGAGCCGCAAGAAAAGGCAACACAAAATGCTTCGTCGGAGCACAAAAAGCTTTCAGCCTGACATCAGCAACGGCCCAGTCAGTGAATTGCAGGACAGATGGGCACGAAGACAGAAAGAAACACACTTCCAGAACTCGATTTCCATCAAGCGTCAGACCTTGCTCACTAAAGTACAACAGTAGCTCACACCTGCACCTCACAGCATCAATGCAGCGGCTTGTCTGTCTAAGCTAGTGGAGGTCCTTAGCCTTGCACCACCCGGTTTCTCGGTTTCACCCCTGCACACAGCAAGCAGTAATTCTGGAAACTTTTCAGCAGGCAAGTTCATGCTGAACATCCGTGGCACGCGCATCGAAGCAGCTCACGAAAGGATCGCAACTTTGAACATCATGAGCGTCCATCTCGGAGCGTGACACAGGCGAAAAATAATAGTAACACGATACAGACATATACAGACAAACAGGCGGGCAAACATGCTCGCATACGCTCGGAACAACGGCACGTGTCAACACTAATATGAACCGAAAAAGTTGTGAAACCCGGGTGGTGTGAACACACCGTCGGTTGGACCTTCCTTCCGCATGCCCACAGCCCCGCGGAGTTCTGCGAATCGAAACGTGCTTACAGCACCTACATACCAATGCCAACACACCCGTGACGCAGTGAATATGCAACACGTCAGCGCATGTGACTTCTGCATGGATGCTTGGACACCGGGTGAAACTCGCACGAGCACCTCGACATGCAGGCAGACACGCGAAAGCTGATCAACAGTCAAAAGAACGAACCCCAGTACAAGTCTCTAAACACACATGAACATCGACGCAAAAGACTAACATGTCAGAACCAATGAACGAACCTCAACAAGACTGCCGGGCATTCACAAGTCGAATCTCGATGTTGGCTGCAACACCCCAGCGCTGTTAGCTCCAACACTCAACTCGAAGGTACGAGTACAGGTCGCTGTTATTCGCCTCGCGGTCAGAGATTCGCTCAGAATCCGGGGCCATGACCTCCACCCTTCCTTCCTGTGAACTCATTGACCGGCTTCCAGGCACGATTGTGCACTGTATCGCAATTTCAAATCCTTCACTGGATGTCGCGTAGGTGTGGGCATCTGACGCACATTTCCTCACCGCTCCCCTGCCCCCGCCCTCCCACCCCCTGCCCCCTCGCCCCCACCCCCCCCCCCCCTTGTCCTTCCTTCTCCGTTCCTTTTTCTGCTTCTGCGGCCTTGCCGATAAGGCTCTGCAACTAAGAGCAAAAGTGAATAGCTTCACTGGCATAGCAATAGCCGGAGGAAGAAATACCATGCCCGCTGTCATGTCAGCGTGCTGCTTGCTGCATGCACAAAGGTGTTCCATGCATTCTATGCACACATGCCCGCAAAGTCTGAGATGCCTGCAAGTGCAAGTGTTGAATCATCGCAGGCTTTTTCTGAATAGTGGAACCTTGACATCTGCACGAGGCCACTCAGACGTGTCATCGCTTTTCGCTCGCATGCAGGGATAGCGGCGCTCCCAGCAGGGACACGATGTTCGGATGCTCGTGGAACTGAGACATGAGTCGAACCTCCCTTCTTGCACAGGCCTCATCCGAATGCATCACCTTCAGAGTTGCGGTCTTCCAAGAACGAAGCTTATTTCAGGGAACGTTAGGTGTCTAGTGGTCTAGTGAGCATTCTTGCTGAATAGAGCCTTGATGGCGACTTTGCGGGATCGAACCTGCTCCAACTTCCGCTTCGGCAAGGGCACCTCCAGTGTGTCAGGGTCCGAGGGATTCAATTCATGGAGTTCAATCGAAAATAATTTACAACGGATCCTGCAACTTCCCATACTAGGAACGTCCAGGATCAAACTCCTGTCCCAGGACTTGAAGCACCTTCGACACTCCGACGAAGACACTGCCATGGAGGCCTACCAGGCTTTGCGGCTTTGCGCTTGAAAGCACCTGCATGCACCTATGCCTCATGGCCTCGTCCACAGGGTTTCAATGCGTTGTAGTTTTCGGACAAATTCCATCGCACAGCTCCGCGTTCGCCCATGTGTTCCAAGCAGTCCTGCAAACTGTCGGGACGGAAACGTCCACAAATCAGCCAGACCTCAGCACTCAGCACTGCTGCTTTTGCTTCTCTGTCTTCACCACTAGCCGTGATTTGTCGGATCTATCGCCTTGAACACTGCTGTGTATCGCGAAGTGAACTGCATCTTGTAGAGTTTTGTGAGCTCTGTTGTGGCTACTGCGAAGCAGCAAGTGGGCATCTATCGATCGCTGCCAAAGTAGCCGGACGGTAAGGATCTGATTCAGGAGCTTCGAGAGCAATGAGCAGAACATGTGTGGGCCCATCATCTGGCTGCATACGGGTGCCGGCACAGATAACGTCTGAAAACTCCAAGCGAATCAGGAGGCTGTTTGACTTCCATGTGCTGACATTGATCGCTGCATGATCAGCTTGATCCTGGTTGCATTGACACAAATCAGAAGATGAAACAGTTCCCTCAACAACACAAAGATGCAGCTGTGCCAAAACGCAAGTAAACCCTGTGCTAGAGCCTGGCACTGGATCCCGCGCTTGGTCAAAAGCAAGGGCATTGGCTTCGAATGCGGTAGTTGGCCAATGCCGCTGGCAGCTTCTTCCAAGACGTGTTGAAGGCCCTCATGACCTGCCGAATCTGCACGTGAGCTTCAGCCCTGTTCTGCCTTCTGCCCTCTCCCCCGAGCCTTCCTTTTTGGCAACTTGCAAGGGATATTGTGCAGGAGTCCCGTGCACGGGATGCAACCAGCAGTGCTCGGACCAGTCTGCGAACAACGCCGATTTCTGTGCATGTGTTGCCATTCTACCTTCGCTCAGCCTTTGAGCCCGAAACACTTTCGACGAAGGCTCTCTACGATAAGCATCCCAACAGAAACATGGTTGCGACACTTAAAAGACCCTGGCGACGTGTCATGTCTTCCACGGCCTTCTTGCGAAGCTCCTGCTGCAGCCACCAGATACATGTCTCAGCTCCGATCTTCTTGCGCAGTCTGAGAATGATTGAAACATCTGCCTCCATTATCGCTTTTCCTCGCAAGAACTTGTCGTCGCCGTTCGACTGCAAGGCATTGCCACGCGCATGCGTCAGCAAAACCATCGACGCTCAATGAAACCCTGAGCTCTCAGCACATGCTTTGGCTGATCCTTGTTTGCGCGAGTTTGCAAAGCTACCACCACGAACACAGCACCTTCCAGCGTCCTGCCTCTTGACCTTCGGCAGTGTTGTCTACATACCTCACACACAGCAGCAGTCTAGTTCCAAACAACACCTGCACACAAGAACAACGCGCAAAAGTCAGGATGGATGCGTTAAGAGGCTTGGTTTGCGGGTAGCACGACGAATGCCAAACCTTCCAATCAACGCAAACGTTGTGTTCGTGGCTACACATGCAGGAAGACCTCCCCAAAGAGGCAACCGTCCAAGTCTGGATCGTGTGCCAGGATGAACACAAGCTCCGTTGCGAAAGTAATTTATGCCGAATCCTGCAGGATGGACTGAATCTTCACATCAATGCACAGGACATACTCAGTGTGTGGTCATCGTAATCTCTACCCTGGCACGTTTGCCCTAATCCTCTGCCTGCAGAACCGGATTTCCATGAAGCCGGCACCGTGATAGCAGGGACGGAAAGGGACATAACTTACCGACAAGCTGCAACATGTACACTCAAAGGGTCATCTCCGTTCCGTCAACATGCTGGGAATATTAATGAACAGATGTGCGAAAACTCTGAAACCATGGACACTTGGTTCCGCTTGCACCGGCACATCACTGACTGCTCGGCAATGACCAACATGGGATCAACGATGTGTGCGCTTTGCAACGAGCTCGAACATTGGCAAAATGGAATGGACCTGTCATGTCGCTTTGTCAACACGGTGAAAACTTCCCAATGCGCAATCACATGCACCATGTCGTTGAACGCACATGCCTGAACGAAAAATGAAAGTGAGCCACATGCGCATCGTTAATCCAGCGAAAACTCATGTAAGCGCAAAGCATTTAAGGGCACAGTTCATTTTCCTAGCTAAGTTCACGCATCCGTGTTTTGTTTGATTCCGCTCCGCGCGGTCGAAACGGTCAGAAGTTCCCACGAAGTCCCCACTATTTTCTCCTCATCTTCATCCCCCAGAGCCTCGGGCCTCAAAGTACCAGACACCTGACCCGCCCAGGGGCACAGTTGTGAAATTTTATGTCCTCTATTGAATTTCACTTCGGGCGTTAACAGGCAACCTTCATCCCGGATGTTGCTTGGAACCCTTCCTGTTTACTCCGCCACGATGTCGGAGAAAAAACAAACTGCGATTGTGCTCAAGCCTTCTTCTTGGACGACCCCGCCTTCAGCCTTGCCGGACAACGCAGCAACATGCACCAACAATATACATTGGAGGATTCGGAGATACAAGCCAAAAAAGACACGCACATACATGATGCAATACACGCAAAACAAACAAACTACACGGCAAGTCTTCAATAATCATCAAGAACTATTCAAAATCTTAAGGCTTAAAGAAACCTAGCTCGGAAGATATAAGTCTTTGAGTTGTCACCGAATACGCAAAAACTCTTAAAGTCTGCAATAACCGACAAAGCATCACAAAGTTGAAAACTTTTTTAAACAACCATCTCGTAGCCAAAAAATTGAATTTCGTAAACAACACTCGAGAGGTTCAAGTGCTAGAGCCAGACACTACGGGAGTGTACAAATTCACAAGGCTTGTAAAACATACACGAACAAAAACGTGTAACAGGTTTGACAAACTTTCCAAGCTGAAGAAAACTTCGCAGCACCAAAAGTTTTCATGTTTCTTCCAAGTACACAAATTGAAGACAAAATTAGCAACGGTATATGATACTTCAAGATCTGGTAACCTGAAAACACAATGCATTGTGCCCACGTCAAAACATCCAAAACCATCACATTTTCCGCCCCTGCGACAAACCTTGCTGCCAGCACTATGATACCAGAATGCCCAAACCCTGAAGCCTCAAGCCTGAAACTCTAAAGCTTTAAGCCTCAAACCCTAAAGTCTTAAGCCCCAAACCCCAACCCTAAAGCCTCGAACCTTGTGCCCCTGACACAAAGTCTGCTGTCACCACCATGAATCAAGAAGGCCTGAACCCTGAAGCCTTAAGCCCTAAATCCTGAGAACAGCCATGTATTGCCACAGTTGTTGGAAGACAATACTTGCAACGGCATATGATACTCCAAGATCTGGTAACCCGAAAACACAAAGCATTGTCCCCAAGGCAAAACATCCAAAACCATCAATTTTTCTGCCCCTGCCACAAAGTTGGCTCTGATACCAGAAGGCCCAAACCGCAGGGCTTTAAAACTTTCGACCCCAAACCCTACAGGCTTAAACCTCGCCCCCTAAAGCCTTAAGCCCCAAACCCCAATCCAGAAGCCTCACAAACAAGTTGTGCTGTCACCACCATGATTCAAAAATGCCTGAACCTTGAAACCTTAAGCCCCAATATCTTGAGAATGGCCATGTATTGCAACGTTTCTTGGAAGACAAACTTTGCAACAGCCTCCGATACCTCAAGATCTGGTAACCTGAAAACACAAAGCATTGTGCCCATGGAACATCCAAAACCATCAACTTTTCTGTCCCTGCCACAAAGCTGGCTGCCATCACTACGACACCGGAATGCCCAAACCCTAAAGCCTTAAGCCCCCAATCCTGAAGCCTTCAGCCTCAAAACCGTAAAAGCCTTACGCCCAAAACCCCCCCCCAACCCGAAAGCCTCAAACCTTGTGTCCCTGGCACAAAGTTTGCTGTCACCACCATGAACCAAGACGGCCTGAACCCTGGAGCCTTAAGCCCTAAATCTTGAAGACAAAATTTGCAGCAGCATGTGATACTTCAAGAACTGGTAACCTGAAAACACAAAGCATTGTGCCCATGCCAAGAAATCCAAAACCATCAACCTTTCTGACACTGCCACGAAGCGGGCTGAGATGATACCAGAATGCCCAAACCCTGAAGCCTCAAGCCTTAAGCCTCAAACCCTAAAGCCTTGAGCCCCAAACCCCACCCCTGAAGCCTCAAATCTTGTGCCCCTGACACAACGTCTGCTGTCACCACCACGAGACAAGAAAGCCTGAACCCTGAAGCCTTAAGCCCTAAATCTTGGGAACGGCCATGTATTGCAACATTCCTTTGATACCTCAAGATCTGGTAACCTGAAAACACGAAGCATTGTGCCCATGGCAAAACATCCAAAACCGTCAACTTTTCTTTTCCCTGCCGCACAGCTGGCTGTCATCACTATGATACCCGAATGCCCAAACTCTAAAGCCTTAAGCCCCCAATCCTGAAGCCTTCAGCCTCAAAACCCTAAAAGCCTTACGCCCAAAACCCCCACCCAACCCGAAAGCCTCGAACCTTGTGCCCCTGGCACAAAGTTTGCTGTCACCACCATGAATCAAGAAGGCCTGAACCCTGAAGCCTTCAGCCCTAAATCTTGAGAATGGCCATGTATCGCAACATTTGTTGGAAGAGAAAAATTGCAACAGCATATGATACTTGAAGAACTTGTAACCTGAAAACACAAAGCATTGTGCAGGCTTCATTAGATTACCTTAATG